GATGTTAATATTTTATTAGTGATAAGAATCTCAAAGCATCTCAAGCAAAATTCAGTTTTAAAAGAAATAATCATAAAAAAATGTTTAAGTGGCAAAAAAATCAAATTAAACAACAATTAATTACAGCAAAATCATTAGTTTAGTTAGTAACAATGGCCCTACTTAAGCCTCCCCAGAACACAGTTATGAAGACTAGGCATTGCACCGAATAAGATCATACTTTCTCTGAAATTACAATAAAATTTAGTAAGGTTGTATTATTGCTTTGGCAAATGCTCTTCCACTTTTGATCACAAAAGTTGTATTTGTAGATACTACAATTCCATTAAACCTTCTGGTTTGCCCATGTCCTGGCTCGCTTTTTTGTACTCAAGGTATTCACTTACTGTATTTTAATGCTATTAGAGATGAAGCTAGTTACTAACTCACATAGGTTGAAAAGGGAATTAGAGCATGCTGGCTGGGGAATTCTGGGAGTTGAAGTGACCAAAGTTCAGAAACACTGCTCTAGCTTCAAAGGTGGCATATTACTGTATACCAGTGGCACTGGACTGGGGGTGCAACAGTGAAGATGAAGGTGGCATTTGTGCCACACTTATGAACCTGAAAGAAGCACTTGTCATTTCTAGATTGGTTGATTTGATTAGGAATTCAATGGTTTTGGCCCTTGGTTTTACCTACTGTATGCATGTATGTACACACCCATCTGTTCTCTTTCTGTAGCGTACTGTAGTTTAGAAAGGTTTAACCATTCCCTTGCTCACCTTGCCCTATCATCGTCTAGATTCCTACTCCCCTGATGGAAATGCCAAGAAGGTAACAATGATCTTGTGAATGCTCATTCATTCTTTGGGAAGCCTCCTGCCGTTCCCTCTCAGTAACTTTGCAGATGATTGTTTCTCCTGTTTCTGCAATCGTTAGTTTATCCACATCTAACAGCAAACTGCACAGCAGAAAAAGGAGATGAGCCTCTCTCAAACAATGCATGTCCCTCCCCCAAAGGAGCACCTGAGGCCCACATGGGCCCCACAAGCTGTGGGTGAGCCTCCATTGACAATCTGGATTTGCCTCAGCCATGAAATAGGGAGGGGATTAGGTGGCTTTTGTTTTTAAAATGAAAGGGGTCTGGAATGTGGGTGTTTAAACACTTCCTTTCTTCCACAATTTTCTATTATTTTGTGCTTCTCACCCTCCCTCAGGAAAAAAAAAGTATTTGGGGCTGTTCGGTGATTAATGAGAATAACCGGGGGGGGGGNGGGGGGGATGAAATTTACTTTGTTTTCAGCAAAATCTGTCCATAATGAACCATTGATTCCCTTAGCAACCACAAGATTTGCTTAACAACCACCACAAAAAAGATTGTAAAATCAAGTCACTCGCATAGGTTACTCACTTTACAACTGTCACTACTTACAGTTAGTTACCTCTAATAGGCAGGTTCCATTACAGTCATAAGTCGAGAACTGCCTGCCTTATATTTTGATCTGATTATTGTTGAAATCACATTCAGGTAAAATGATTTTTTTCCATTCTGGAAAAAAAATATGTAATTTGTTCTATAACAGATATTGTTCCAGAATTATATCATATCCTTATTCTGAATATAGGTACAGTTCAAGGATACCTGGAAAAGTGTTGCAGAGTATTCCAAAGTAACTGAGTGATCTCGTTCATTAAAAAGCACAATTCTGCAGGTTATGATTTTTGGTATTGAGGGAAATCTGGAAAACACAACTATGGTTATGATTTTCTAATTTATTCTAATTAGGATGCTTTTTGAATTATATAATTTATATTATGTAAATAAATTGATTTCTACACTGCCGGAAGAATCACAATCATTATGTTGTCTAGAAGTAAATTAAATAAATCAATATTGATACTAAATGCACTGTAATATCCTTCTTGGTGTATATAAGAAGATTACTTTGATTCATTTTTTTGTTTATCTTTGCGAACATAGCGTTGTCAAGCAATGAGGGCTTCATATTAAATGGAGACTATGTTGTCAGTATGTTTAAGAAGGAAATCAAAATTGGAAATGCTGTCATAGAATACAGTGGCTCAGACACTCCCATCGAACGCATCAATTCTACTTACCGCATTGATCAAGAAATAGTTCTTCAGGTAAAAAAAATATCTCTTTTTCTAAAAGAGAATCAAATATATGTTGCTGTATTTTAATGTTTATGTAGATGAAATAGGACAGTTCCTCCCTTGATGCTATCTTTTTTCCTCTCAGGTTTTATCAGTGGGTAATTTATATAACCCTGATGTTCGATACACATTCAATATCCCCATTGAAGATAAACCCCAGCAGTTTTATTGGAATGTCTATGGTCCTTGGCAGCCCTGCAGTAAACTCTGCCAAGGTACGTGGCTTTAAAGGGATTTGGAAAATAATTCAAACTTTACATTTCCAAAAGCTGTAGCAGGATGATGGATGCTGTCTTTTAAGCTGCTCACAATATTAAGACCCTTCTTAGTACTTTAGGCTGACTTGAGGCAATATTTACCTCAAAATTATGACCACCCGCTCTACATTAGAACTAGTTTGGTGGGGTGGTTAACACCAATGTAGAAGCCAGGAGATGATGAGTTCTTAGGTACAAGTCCAACTGGGTGATTTGGGAATACTTCTCTCTCAGATTTAGGAAGCAGACAAGGAGAAGCCATTTCTGAAATCCTACCATGTAAATTTGGGGACCAGTCCAGGCAGTCGCCAGGGTTAACACTGACTCTTAAGACATCAAAGAAAACAACAACTCTACATTAAGTTGGCTTCACTTGTATTACTCAAGACAGAGTAATAGCAAAGGCTATGAAACACATTGTCTAACTTACAACTGATTTTATGACTTTTTTTGCCATGAATGTGCATAGTGCTGTGTCTTTATAGTTTCACTTTCACTATTAATGTGTGAATATCAAATTGGGGCTGTATCTTGCTGCTGTGGCGGCAAGAGTCAAAGTCAAGGAATAAGTCCCAACTGACCTAGGCAACCAGCAGACCTAGAAAGATTTTACT